GTTCTTATACTGCCTGCAAGAAAATACTGATAATATATAAAAAATGCTTTATCATGAACACACCAGCAGATGCTGCATAAGACTCAGCCGATAATCGTCAAATCTGATGATAACCGTGTCACCATTCATTCACTGAGATTCACCCAGTTTATTCCTGGAATAATTATCATCCCTGGGATTTTCAATGAAAACGCCAGGATTTTGAATGAATATTTAGAATTTTCAACTGCTACCTATGCAAATCTACTGTTTAAAAGGATACTGGTATTTTGATTGGACACTAATTAATGTGTCATGAGTCTAGTCCGTTGTCTTCTTCAGACTCGAATTCTACCAGCCAAGTTTGCAACGTGGCTGTCATGTCGGGTGACAAGGTTCAGATTTCAGAAGAGACATGAATGAGTTCCTTCAAGATTGCAGATACGCTTTGCTAACGAGTGCCAGCAAGCACGAATCCTAGGTCAAAGGCTTCCTGCCGATTGCCACCAACCACCTAATAAACAAGAATGCTGGTGTTATTGTCGCCAATCTAATAATTGGTGTGTCGGCAGATCAGTGGTAGAATGCATGTGGTGAGAAGTTCGATTCTCAGCCGACGCCCTCCTAGACATCGCTTAATCAGTAGTGAGCCTGGTAAGGAAGGGAGGATGGATGTGCACATGGCAACCCCACCTTGTAAAAAGATAGACATCACTGCTACTACAACTTCAAAGCTCAAGCTTGAAACCCTATGTTCAACCAGGAAAGCAGAAGGAATAAGAAAATTCAGTAATTGACAAGTTAGAGAAAGAAAGGATGTGAAATTGCTTCCAGAAGTATCTAACGTGTAAGGTAGCTCAGAAAAAGCTATTGTCTACTCTATCCGGTAATTAATACACTTTAACCAATTGGAATCCCATAGTGTAGACGTAGTGCTTGTGTAAGATTTTCCAGTATTATAGTCTTAGAACTTGTGTGATTTCTTGAAAATATTTTAAAAAGATTCCTGTCTTTTGTTCGCTGAACTTTAAATTTTGGTGACAAATGTCTCAGAGTCATCGATTCTGGGTATATTAAAGCAAAAATATGTGTGCAAATTTATGCAGCGAACAGCAGAAATTCAGTAGGCATAATTTCAGCTTGTCAATCAAGATCACTGATCAGTCCAATGAAGTTGTTATGACTATTCTGTCTGAAAAATTTTCTAAATTTATGCTGAAGAGATAATTAGGTTACTATCGAAATGGTATTTTTTAAAATTTTTAATCAGTTGTGTTCTTTGAGCTGGTTGGTTTAATTGTGAAGCTTTCATCATCCTACTGGACAACATCTTCAGTGGAAGTTTTAGCATAAAGTGAACTCATTTGAATCCTCCATGAATGATATAATTGTGTATCCTGGCAACCATCTTCGTGACTGGTTGTCGATTAACATCTGTATTGGTCACTTTTTATTGGCTTGGAATCTGAACTTTCTTGTCACGTGATTTATTTCTATCGGTTGGTAGATTCGGTCTACATTAACGTGTTTGTTAATCACATATTCGCCTGAGTACGAGGATTCTAGGAATTCTCCGGCACTTTTGGTTTTTCCTCTGTTTAAAATTTCGACATTATCCCAATCAAATTGATGTCCATAATTATCTACATGCATTGATATGAAAGAATATAGATCATGTCATTTCACAACTTGGATTCTGATTCGAAGGGGACTCTCACTTTGGCCGATGTAATGTCTGTTACAGTTCATACAATTTATTTTGCAAATAGTATTAACTTTATCTTCTTTTTCGGTTGGATCTTTCTGTTTGCACCATATCGAATGCAGTGACTGTGTTGGCTTGTGTAATAAATCTATTTCAAACCGTCTTAATATTCTAGCTATCTTTTCCGGAGATAATGCTTATGTATGTCAGAATGTATTTTCTTATAGTCTTTGATGATGGTTTCTTGTTGGTGTTGTGACTCGATTTTAAGCACTTTTTGATGAAATTGTGAGGATATCCATTGTTTTTGAAGACAATTGCTAGGTATTTTTCTTCCATTCTCTTCAACACTGGAGTGCACTACCGGTCACGAAGATGGTTGCCAGGATACATAACTGTATCATTCATGGAGGATTCAAATGAGTTCACTTTATGCTAAAACTTCCACTGAAGATGTCGTCCAGTAGGACGATGAAAGCTTCACAATTAAACACAACCAGCTCAGAGAACACAACTAATTCCAAATTATCCACCTGAGCTACAAATCTTTTCTATTATTTCAGGAATTGTTAATTATCATACTAAAATACGATTGATTTTTTTGCTTTGTGTTTCGGCTTCTTATTCTTGTCGAAGTGTGTTGACTACAGTCTACCCTAAAAGCAACGGAACTACTCACTTATCATATACACCCTTTTCCTTTACTTTCAGTCATGTTTTTACCAGAAGTAGAAACAGTGATTATTCAGTGTCTTAAATAAGTATAATTTATGTAAGCTTTGTTGGTACCTCTTCAAAATGACATGCAATCCCTAATTTCATGTATCAAGAATAGCTGTTTCCGAGAATTCGCCTAAAACTGTTCATTGTTTTACTGTTATCAGGCGTATTTTTCCAAACACACTACACCAAATCAGATTCGTCATTTGAAGAATAATACACAGTATGAGGTGAAATTTCACCATTATTTCCTTTAGAAACTGAAATTATGCAGATCATGGCCATCCACAAAGCAAGCATAGCTCCATGCTGGTATTTACTACTGATTGATGTGATCAAGTTAAATTTCATCTCGTCAAACTGTGCAATTTGCAAATCAGTAGTCTGATTCTATGTATTACCAGCACGCCATAGTAGCTAGCTAGAATCCCAGTGGCTTGAGACGATTCCAGCCAGATGCACCACTGATGTCACAGCCTCAAATGAATGAAATGGCCATCTGGTGTTTGTATCTTCGAATGGACGCTAGGCAGTGACCAGTGTCATTAGTCTAGTCCTTTGTTTGGTGCAGAATGAAGTTTGTAATGTGGCCAGCGTGCTACTAGGTGTCTCGCCATCACGGCGCAATCTGAATGTTGATATTAAATGGTTGGAGGCAATCGGCAGAAGGCCTTGGACCTGGGTTTCTTGCTCGCCACATTACAAACTTTACTGATAGAATTCTGTCTGCACCAAACTAAAGACTAGACACACTACACTAGTCACTAACTAGTGCCCAATCAAATTATCCAACACAGTCCTACAGGAGGTAAATGGCGAGCCTGAATAGCTCAGTGGTAACGTCTCTGACTGCAGCACTGGGTGACGCGGGTTCTAATCTCAAGAGGGACACCAGTTCCTTCAGGATTGCAGATACGCCTTGCTGACTAGTGAGTTCCAGCTAGCACGAAACCTCGGTCCAAGGCTTCCTGCCGATTGCCTCCAACCACTTAATATCAATCAACAATTCAAGGTGTTTATTTCGCTTCGATGTGCTTAATAATCACTACCAGTTTGTCTGAGTGATACCCAACTACTTAAATCAATCAGTAGTAAAGTCTGTAAGGGGAAAAAAGATTTGGATAACCAAATATAGGTATTCTGAGTTGAGTTATGTCAACAGACATCTAGAAGTATATTGTCTATTATACCAAGGAAATAATGGAAGAACGACATCGTGAAGTAAATCTCATTGATTAGCCATACTGAAGTCAACACATCTATCCTGCAACACTTTCAACAAGTATTTGGAGTTACTTTCTTCTCCATTTAATCCGACTAAGGGGGAAGGAAACATAAGATAAATGTTACGTGGTTAGACACAGTCAAAGTCCTGTTTAACTGAAGCTTTACTCTTGCTTGTGGTTACAAAATATTTCCATTCTCAACGTGGGATTGTATAAATGATGTCACGAGTGAAATTATAAGCCGCACATTTAGAATTCCAGTTACAGATATTATCCAGTGTGTTGATGAGTCATGTTCAGTCCTACAGAGAGTTAGTTACTTTATGGCCTGAATAAATCATTGATAATGACTAATTTGCTTTGCCTTCTACTCTTAATACCTGAACAAAGCATGCTATGTATATGTGAGAGTAACCGATGCGCATTCACTTTTGTGATGGGACAGAAGTGACACGAACAAACAAGAAGATCAAAAAGATCTTTCTATTCACTACCCTTAACCAACAAGCACCAATTGCAAAGATAATTTCGTCAACCCTATTTCATGACGGACATGTTACTTAACATAACGACGTGGTGATAATGTAAAAAATGGTGAACTATTAAAAACTTTAAAATGTCCCGAGTGATATTCATAATTTCGTAGGTTATACACGATTTTAAAATGATTTTAAAAATAGCATTGTATATACTAAAAGACATTTAGCGTTGCCTACTGCACTGGTAACTAAACGCTTAGATATATATGATATACCACCTAGTTCCATGTAATGCAGTTTTTCTCTACACTTCGAGTATGCAAAAATATGCTACTTAGGAAAAAGGGCATGAACTTACCTGTGCAGACGTATGAAGTAGGACAGAAGGTACTGCTCAGCGTTATATGTGACTCTCATATTCACCTGTACTAGGAAAACTTTTATACTTTTGGTTTCTATCGTAGCTAATTCGGTCCTGATATAAATTGCAGATACGCGACAGTATTTCACCCAGTAAACCAGCATAGATGAAGCTAATTAATCTTATCAAAGCACTTATAGTCCTTGCTTTGCTTGTTACCGAACGATATTCCTTTTTAATAAAAATGATTCACTACAACCGTCTACCGGAAGCCTTAGACAGCTCAATTATAGCACGCATGCTCGCAGCTTAAACGCAGAGGTTGTCGTAACTTGCATAGACCAACACCAGAGTTACACATTTCACTTCTGAGCTTGACGGTTGACAAACAAACACCTGCAGTCTAAACTAACCGACTCCATGCTGTACAAATTATTATTATTTGCAGATCCGTCAAGCAGAGATTAACCGTTTTTTTTATTGAAAAGCGGAATTCTGTATTCAAGAAATAATTATTAATGGAAATAATAATGGAAATATATTGTTACATGCAATTGATGATAAATTTCGTGCATTACTTCTCTTGTTCAAATTTAGAGAGATTTACGTATACGTTAAAAAGAAGAGATAGTTAATCGGATTTTAAAATAAGTATCATTGGGTGAATTACCAGCAATACGAGTGAGTACATCTCAAGTTACAGAGATTTACAAAGAAGTAAAAGGGGAAGAGATCAGTAACAACAAATGATAACAAAAGACTAACCCCCCCCCCCAAAAAAAAAGAAAACTGAACACTGAACAGTTGATAGTAAATCTGTTAAAAATTAGCGTCAGTGATCATTGCCGCTACAAGTATATTGAAGGTTATAAGTAGTATAATATTGTCACACAGCACATGGTTATTCGATAAAAGAAGTTATATTACGACACAACACATATCTCCTCCTCTATTGCACAGTATGAGCAAAAGAACCGATACTGTCGTTGGCTTGGTTTTCTCTTGACTGACTGTGATACTGTTGTCCTATGCATAGGTTTATACATGTTTTTCTGAAACAAACTCAATTCGACTGGAATTATGTTAAAAAACTGTTATAAGCAGAAATCAGGAGAAGAAGAAGGAGAAAAAGTATGGAGAATAAATAATAATAACTATAATAATGATAATAAATGACCGACATAGCATAAAATAATGAAGACTGCATTATTTAATTTTTGTCCGTATCGCTCTTTCTAATTTGGTTCACAATCACTAGGAAATAACACCAATAGAAACAATTATACAAGACAAAACAGGCTGGAAATAAGAAACGACTGTAAGTGTCAACTTCCGATTCAACTAACCCCGGTGGTCTCCTTGGCTTCGACTTATCTTTACTTTCTTCAATCAGTTGGTTCGTTAACAAATGCTCTAATTCTTCACGGAATTCCATTTGACCACGTGTTAAACCTTGTGAATTTTGCAATTGAACTAATTGTTGTTGTTGACAGATAGCACACCAACGTGCTAACTCCTCTCTGACAATATCCTTCACATCTTCATGCCATGTCTCGGACTGTTTACGCCGCAAAAGAGTCAGGGCGACAGCATATTCAACCAGTACACCAATGACAAAAATAATCGAGAATATCATCCATATATCAATTGCTTTGATATATGACACCCTTGGCAGAGTAGAGGAAACACTAATCGCTTGCGTTAGTATGCCTAGTAAACTAAGCAAGCCTAAAGGAACACGGGCTGGAGCTGAGTCAACATTCACCCAAAAACTTAACCATGACACCATAATAATTAGCACATTCGGTACATATGTTGTGGCTAAATAACTGCCAAGCTGTCGTTGTAGTTCAAATGTCGCTTTCAAGCATGCATACTGACCTGTAGAAGTTGAATAACCAGAAGAACAATCATGTGCATCAAATTTTTCGGGTGTTTCAAATTCAGAAAGTTGAAGATTTTCACCCAATTCAACTGGCTTTTCACCATTCCAAACAAATTTGAGTTCATTCAGTGTATAACCATAGCTACCGATATCGATGTAACAGCTTTGACTATCCATAGGAAATGTTTGTAGATGCATTTGACACGAGAATCGCATTGTTATCTTTTGACTGTATAACACATTTCCATTAGGATGAACACGTAATAAATAATTTGGCAATGTTAACTTATGCAAATAGCCATCTTTACCATTTCTAAAGAATAAATCAGGTAACCATAACTGCTCTTTTAATTTGGGTGATACTAAAGGCTCTTTGAAATCACGAAATTCTGGTATTTCGTGCCATGAAAGTCTACGATCACGCCATGCTTGTCTTAATAATAAGTCAACATTATAATCCATTGTACGTACATCAATTGAAAAAATAGCTAATACTTTCATATTGACAGTAACTATAGTAGCATTCCCACCGTCTGGTGGACGTTCATAACTACGATATTTTGACATAATTAAACTGACAATACGATCTCTCATTGAAGATTTCGACCGTGACTCTTCTTGAGGTGTTGAATCTTTATTCGTTTTTATTGTCTCTGTAATATTCGCCATGCTCTGCGTCCCTGGAACAAAATTTCTATCGTGTAAACGATTGCCATCAGTTGGTGGAACAAATCCAGGGTCGCCAAGAGATAGACCCGGTGGAATGCCTGGATCTTGACCTTGTGTAACAGATGCATGTGGCTGACCGACTGCATTCACTGGATTTGATGAACTGTAGGATAAAACTGGAGCATTTGGATTACTTTGTCTAAATGAAGGATGGATATTACCAGCAGCCTGTTTTACTGATTGTTGATTATAATATGGGACATTGCATTTGACAAACAACAGCAATAATAACTGAATGAGGAAAACAGAGGAAATATGTTTGATTAAAGTTGAATACAGCTTCATGAGTGTGACAGTTACATAAACGTGTATTTTAAATAAAATGAGTGTCTACTGGAACTAACAGAGAGAGAGAGAGAGTAGAACACTAACAGATTGTGAGAATCCTTGTCTATATGATGTAATCCACAGGTGAAATGCAAAATATCATGTTTCTCAAAACTTTACATAGAATTTTGACAAAGCAAATGAGATATTTATTTATCGTTCAGAATCAATTTGTAATCTTATGTAGGCATGTTCACAACGTCACCTAGATACGCGTGTATCCACCAATAATTTGCCTATTTGAGTAGGTAGGTTTACCTGACCAGACAGGTAGGAAAATAGGTAAACTCAGCCAGGTGAAAAATTCATAAATACTGATAACCAATGAGATTTCACATTCAGCGAAAGTATGAATCTGTCTGCCTGATAAACGGGACAATTGTATTGGTTAATGTCAGGTAGGTTAAAATGTCAACTAATCCTTCATCTGACCAATAAACATTCTACTCATTTTTTCCCTCAAAAATAAATCTGCCGATAAGATTGGGTATCAGAAAAAAAGATAATAATAGAGAGAAACAGTTCTTCATTTAATTTTACATTTATTAAAATTTCATTACATATTAATTGAGTCTAACTTTTTTATTTTTTCAAAGTAGCTAGAAATCAGCGTAAAATCCCTGAATAAGTCAGCTAGTCTCTGTGGTAATTATGTAGGATTAGGGTTGATACGTACTTTGAATAAAAAGTTAGCATGAACAAAAATTTTCACATCAGGTTCTTGCACTAACAAACTCAGATTTGTAACTTTTCGTAGCTTACAGCTGGAGATCTTGTCCAAAAGGGCAGTAAAGTCTTGACAATTCAATCATCCAGCTCTCAGAATATAAAAATAAACATTACATATCATTCCCTTTTAGTTCGTTTATTAGATATATCACACAGTGAAACAGTATTATTTACTGGATGACGTTTCGAACAAAATTTATTGTTCATAATCATATCAATTGTGATCACTCGACTTTGACACTTGAGTTTTATAGTTTTCTTTGTTCTCTCCTGTTTGCCATCGTTGGGGTAGTAGAATTTTCCAGATATCGGGGACATGAATCATTCCTATTACATGTATTCTACGAACATGTACCAAGGAGCCTCCGGTTAAAGGGACCGAATTATTTAAGCTCTTCAATCGCCAAACACCTGATTGACACAGGACACCGAGTAGATGTGCTGGAATCATTCAAAATAATTAACAGACAATGTACCTGAAGTCTTCTTAGGTTTGCTGAAGTTATAGCAATAAAACGATTTAAGCCTGACTTATGTGTCCAAAATGAATCCGTCGTTGGACTTCAATTACCCTGGTAACTGACATCTTAGTAACTCTTTGTTTTCTAATTTTGTTAACTTTGTTAACTTATCTTTTCACTCTACCTCTCCCCTTTATGTTTCGTTTGACTCTCTTAAGAGATAATTTTTGTTGATCTTCTGAGTTCTGCTCACTGTATTACATCATCAACTTCTCATATGACCTCATGTGAACTGTAATTTTAAAAATGTTGATCTTCTATTATCTAATTACGTAACTATTGCTAATTGTCTTTTGTCACCACCCTAACAACACAACTGTTAACTAATTTTTTTCAAGAAACTTCTCTCTACCAAGATATATATATATATACATGTCGTGACACTTTAGACACCCTATAAATCTCAATGCCTTATTTTACTATGACGCTCTGACACTATGCTTGCTAATGGACAAAGGTTTGTTAAAATTGTACACTATGAAATTAATAATAATAGTATTGCTAGTGATAATATTAATAATAATCAAAATAATGACGACACGCATGACAAAGATGCCCAGGATAGTGACAACACCAACAATAGGGAATCTAAATCACTAGTAGTAATTCCATACAAGAAATGAATCTCAGGGACCTTACGCAGAATTCTTAACAATGCTGGCAGGAATAAAAGTGGATGGAATTCAACCCCTCCCCACAAACTCAATTAGAAACAAGCTTTGTCAGTTAAAGGACCAATCCTGTGGAGCCTTTAAAACTTAACAATTTAGTTTATCTAATACCCTGTCTGCTGGAATGATTGTCAGGTCAAATACATAGGTCAAAGTAGTAGAACAGGATCAGTGAGTCAGAGTAGGCAAGCATAAATACCTAGCAGCAAAATCTAGATTAGTTGATCCGAATAAGATAAGAAATCTAGAGAATAGTTCAGCAGCTATCGCAAGCGCTACATGCAGTTACACACAAACATACAATAGGATGTCACAGGGTGGAGGGAGAGATTGATAACAGAAGGTTTGTTTATCGAGTCATCTGCAAATGAGTGTAACTGGAATGATTCAACACGTGTCCCAGATATCTGGAAAATTCTACTACTCTACTACTACGACAAATTGGAGAGAACAAAGAAAACTATAAAACACAAGTTTTGAAGTCGTGTGATTATAACTGATATGATTATGAACAATAAATTTTGTTCAAAACGTCATCCAGTAAATAATACTGTTTCACTGTGTGATATATCTAATAAACAAACTAAGAGGGAATTACTTACTACCACAGTGCCCAAGTTTTGCACATATATTATTACATATCATTCATTCAGACTTATAGTCGTTTAGCAACTTTTCTTGTCAGAATTCATTTTGGAGTTGGCTTGCTGCCCTACTTACTGCCTGTTTTAATACTTGTCTACCTGAATATTATGAATACTATGGTTTAGATATAACTGTAGACTAGTTTATCACCTTTATGTAGGATTAGGGTTAGTTTCCGTTTTTCGGTCAGCCTTCTTAATTTCAACCCTGCAGCTACATTTCTGATAATTACTGAAGCTACACATTTAATATTTATTGAGGCGTCTTTTCTGAAACATGAAATTTTTGACATTATATTTTGTGACAATATACTGTTTGACGAAAAACCCTTCAAGATAGTTTTTCATACATAATCGTCACTGAGAAGATCATTGAAATACTGAGCGTGAAACACATTTTCTTCATTTCTTCACCAGGAGATACACAAATCTTCTTCCTCCTATTCCATTCTAACGGACTCAGTAAAGTGTGGTACAGGTTTTAGAGTTCTGTCTTTGAGTGGTCACGTAAACTATTGTTCACGAGTACAAGGAATATATATAGTATATTATTAAAACTTGAAAAATAAAATTGCTTTCCAGTTACTATGTATATCTAGTGAGTGGAAAGTTAGGGTTAAGAAGCCTCTCATTAAATGACCAAAATGGGATTTAAAATTGTGGCTGACGATAGAATTCTCCGTGAAAATACAAACCTACCATCGTATAGGTAAAGTGTACAGACTTGATCTATTCTGGACACCAAACCAGCTTCAGAGTCATCTATAGAGTCTGCAGGAATCCCCTCAGACTTCTTCCACATAATAAGTCCTAAACTCTGCATACAGGAGAAGTTTGTTTAGTCTCTTAAATGATAATGGACCTGACTTTTCTATACATTCAGAGCGTAATTTGTCTTCAGTTTCTCTCCTTCCCCAATATTACACTTCTACTCTTTAGGATACTTGATCTTGAATTGGCTTTTAATCAATTTTGGTCGAGTTCTTCTCAATCCCGTCGATTATGTTACATCAGTCAATTAACTCACTTAATTTTACTTTAGCGTCTACCTATTTAGTGTTTTTGTAATACATAGTTTAGAATCTCTTATCTACTCCCTAAAACTAAAAATTCTAATTAAATATCCTTGGAAATGTATTATATAGATGCTTGAGAATGATACGGATGATGAGAGTAGCTCCTCAATGAAGTCCTTTTTCATGTCACTTCAGAAAAGCTATATATATATATATATATATATATATATATATAAGAGCTATACATCTGTCCAGAACTCTTTGGTTACCAGCATTTCTTTTAGTCAATTATAGGTTTGAAATTAATTCCATCTTCATAAACCTTCAAGCTTAGATGTTTTGTAGTTGTTCAAATAAATAAAACCCGACCATCTGGTGGAATTGCATAACTTCAAATGCTGACTTTCATTCATACAGTTTGGGTGTAAATGCTGCCTTTCTTTACACAAGAACTCATGGAGATGGATAAAATGGTGACATTTAATTGGTTTGCGTGGTTCTCGAAATCTACACTTGGTCGAGTTGTTTTTCTTATGGAATTTCAAAACACCAGCCTTACAAGTAGAAAAAAAACAGTAAAGTTGAAAAGAATTAAGCTAATAGCAGTTAGTTATGCATTATGGTTAGCGTTAGTAGGGTTAGGTAGACTTTCTCTCGGTTATTGTTAATCTTCGAGTTAAGGAAAACTAATTACGCAATTCGTGCGTCGGTGGCATAGTGGTTAGGACGCTCGCCGACCATGCACATGGTCCGGGGCTCGATCCCCGGCCGACGCACACCTTTACCTCGCTAACCCAGAAATAACGCTGGTGAAGAGTAAAGGTTGGGCATGAGGCTAGCAACCCCATCCTGTAAAATAAGCACTGCTACAGAAACTTCAAGCCACTAGCTGTCAGTAGTAAAATATAAGGAGACATTAGTCGGCACAAAAACATCAAATAACAAAGAGATAGACCTGACATCATCAAAAGGAAATGAATAAGTATTGCGGCAAAACATCAGAGACACAAAAATCAAACAAAAACACAATACGAAGAGCAGAAGTAGCACAACACAGAAGATCTGTGCAAATGCCGATTTCTAGATAAAGTGTATATAATTTTCCTACATAGAGGTATCAAATTCCTTTTAAGCATTGCGTTACCAAATATGGCAAAATAAAGTGATAGAGAAAGACTAATAGGTTTCTCCCACTGGTAGAATATTTACACACAGATTTTAAAGGCTCTATGATACCTTATCAGTCAATACCACGGATAACACCATTTTTAAGTTAATCAGAATTTGCAAATATTCGACTAAATAATCTCTGGAGTTGAATGCAATTGTAAAAATGCCTTTAACCTAGGTTTGGTTCATTTCAACGACTGAAATGTATAAAGGACTGATGTTCCTACAGAGATGGGAGCTACTTGTACCCTGTTCTGCAATCATATATATTACAACTGCTTATTTTAGCCACTGTTATTTTGCTAAGTAAAAACAAAGCACGTAGATCAGCGAAAAGTCTCTTTTCGGTGATTTCATTTTCTTAGCTGTACAATCGCAAATATATATGTGTTATTTTGCATGCATGTGTACATTAAGTTTGTCAAACGAAAATACAATTGGTTATAGTTATTTAAACTAAACAGGTGAAGATTGGTAATTGGAGTTACGTAATACAAAATCAGTCAAGAAAAT